GTCGTAGATCGTTCTTTTAAAATTCTGAATCTGTCGTTTAAGTTCATTGTTAAGTCTATTGAAAGTCCGCTTGTCAGATGGAAGTCGACCAGTATGCCACACTTTGCGCGCTCTTCTCTTTGCTCTGATCAGGTCTCTAATGTACTGCGGATAGACTGGAAGAGACGTATTTCTGCTGGGTCTTGGTACAGATGATGACCATACAGCCTGTTGTAAGCTGATTGTGAACTTATCAACAGCTTTTTCGAGTTCCTCTTCGGTCTTAAGGGACATTGGGATTGATAGCGTCGAATTTAAGTAGTCGCTGTAAGCTTCCCAATCGATTATCCTATCTGTAAGTGTTGGTTTTTTTGATGCAGTACGAGGCTCATCGCATAGTACCAAACTGAGAAGAGAATGATCAGAACAAAGATCAGAGCTTGCAGTTACAGTATACGGCACTGTCCTGAGTCCTTTAGTAATGAAAAAGTCAAGTAAATCTGGTGTTTTCTGTCTTGAAGTTGGCCAGTAAGTAGGTGTATCAGGTGAGATCATGTTTAATGAAAGCTGATCGATGGCAGACTTTAAATTTCTTCCTCTAGGAGTACAGAGTCGTGCTCCCCAGGACTGATGTTTGGCATTATAATCACCACCTGCAATAAAACACCGACCGAGATGTTGGAACAAATTGTAAAACATTGCAGATGTTAGCACGTATCTCGGAGGGCAGTACTCTGCAGCGAAGGTAATGGTATGGTGCTGGGTATACAGTGTAATTGCTGTGGATTGTATGTCAGGTGTAATGGGTAATTGTAAAAGGTTGTGTTTTAGTGATTGCTTAATCAGTATTGCCATACCGCCATGTGCCGTCTTATCAGGGTGGTCAGTTCTATATATTTTGTAGCCTGGAATGTAAAATTTAGAATGTGGAGTCAAGTGTGTTTCAGTGATGAGAGCAACGTCAGTTTCATGTATGTACATGTCAAGTTCAGTCCTGTGTTGGTTTATACCATTTGCGTTCCAGAGAAGAACGGACATGGAGCCCACTGTCAGCCGATTAGTAGCCATAACTGGAGGATAAGGCTTGTGCAACGTGAGACAGTTCTTGGAGAAGGCTGAAAAGAGGCTGGATGAGGTTATTCAATCCACTTACCAAGTTGAAGAGGTGAGCTGAAGCCGGGTGATTGTAAGTCGGTGGTGGCGGTTGAGTAATGCACTTTTTCATTTCTGGATGCTTTGGCTGGTGAAGGTGATTTTCTGAGACTTTTGTAGGAGAAGTTCGCAGGTTTGGTCCTAGATATTGGGAATCGGGTTTTGAAGAGCCTGAATTTGCGGTATGCTGACTTTGCGGAAGAGAAGGAAACTCGTCTATACCTGGGGGTGCGCTAGTTTGTGCTTTTTGGGGACTTTGTATATTTTTACGGAGATTGCGTACTTCCCTCAGTTGTTTTAGAGTTGCACAACCTCTATAATTTGCTGGATGGGATCCGCTACAATTCGCGCATGTTGCTGCGGTCTCTCTTGTCTTTGTGCAGACGGTGCTATCATGTCCTTGGCCACATCTCACGCACTTCGGGGAGTGATTGCAGTAAGCCTTCCTGTGGCGATACTGCTGACAACGGCTGCACTGTGGTATCATTCTTTTCTTTCTTGGCTCTTCGATTTTCACTCTAGTATAGTATAAAAATTTGATATCAAAAATCTTTTCATTAAATGTGGCTTTAGAGATATCGATAAAGAACATGGGAAGTGGATTTTTATATCTGGAAATAACGTTCACAATACTTGTGGCATCATAGACTAGGCATTTTAATTCGTATTTTATGGTTTCGATTGGAGTAGCATGGTGTAAGTTTTTTAATACGATTCTTGGATTTCTATCTTCTATTAACTGATAGGTATGGAAATCGGCACCTACCTGTCTTAAGTTAGCTACTATACGTCTATATGTGTCAGAGTTTTCAGGATATACGGTTACTCCTCTTGATGTGGATTTTAGGTTAAAGTTGTTCAAACCTCCTACATTTTGGAGAAATGTGAAAAAGTTCGGTGTAGTTCTGTACATCATTCAGGTGGATAAGGGGCGGTTTTACAGAAACTGGTTGCTTAGTTGTAGCATCAGACTCGTCACTAATGTTAGTTAATACTTCAAAACTATTTGTGGTTACTGTTGTAACTTCACTTACCTTTTTAGCTTTTCTTGGGTCTCTGTTATTGTCCATTGAGCGTTTTCTTCCTGTAACGAGTTCCCAATTATTTTCAGTAGTTTAGTTTGAGTTTAAAGCGTCCACATTTTCTGAAGAACTGGCAGATATCGACGTCTCAGACATCGTTTGCGGTGAAACCGCTACACCGAGGTGTGGAGTTCCTATTTCTTAGAGCTAATTGGTTTCAACAACAGAATGCAACAAAAAGAAAAGTTTTCACTGTTAATTTACTCTAAGATTTTGTCAAAAAGATTTTCAAAGAAAAATTAACCTCACTTTTATCAATGTTCACACATGATCCAGCTGATTGTATAATTTTTAAATAAATCCATTTTTTGTTTTTTACATGTATTATAATATTTAAACACCACTAATCAGGAATCACTAGAGTTATTAAAAAGAATGACGAAAAGATTTTAATCGATTTTATTTCATGATAGGCAACTTTATTATCATTTGGATCCGTGTTTATTTTTTTAATTTAATAAATAATAGATTAATGTCAAAGGGCTACAATACTTCCACAAAAACATTTTAGTACAAAAATGTTTTTAACATTGAAACAAGAAATAATGCAAATGTTTTCCTGAGAATATTATTATTATATTTGATTTAATAGTAAATATTTTTATATAAAAATAATAGAATTTCCTTTTAAAAACGAAACACATGTGAGAGAAACACTTAATTTTCATTTAAAAGAATGATACCCAATTATATTGGGGTTCTAAAAGTACAGCATACTAGTTAATCTCCACGAATAATCAGTAAAACTTATATATACAGTACTATTTGAATATACATAAGTATAATATATATATATATATAATATATATATATTTTTTTTTTTTTTTCTCTTGCATAGTAACCCTATGCAGGAGGAGTTTATTTGCAAAAGTTTACATACATCATGCGAATTCGCATATAATACTTATGAATGTTATGCATACATTTTATGTATGCTATACTTTTTTTTTCATAAAAATTGAAGAAAACAACTTAAAATAAGAAAAATAAAATGGGGAAAAAAATATAACTAAAGCTACGATACTTGTTTACATGAAAATAAGTAGTGTTGCCCAAAATTGCTCTCGGTGTTGCAGGCTTGGTCTTGGTTTTGCATTTTTGCAAAACCAATTGCATCACCAATACCAGACCCTCCAATCTTGCTCAGACCCTGCAAGTCTTGCAGGTATTGCAGTTAAGTCAAACTGAGACTATTTTCAGATATAGCACGGTGCTTAAATATTTTAATCGTCTGTTCTAAACAGCGTTGTTTTTTCTTTTAGAATTGTATATTTGAGTATAGCTTTCCAAAGTATAATAAAAAGTTAATTTTTTTTTGTTCTCTCCTACCTCGCCATTTAGGTTACACGGGGGTTTCGCGGGCCAAGGGGTGAGGTCGGGGGATTAATGTTAGAGCTAAAAGAACTCATAATTATTTTATTGTCTCCTACTTCGATTATCAGGTTGACGGGCAACGCGCTGTGCTGTGCACACTCGTTAGTCCGCTCTATAGTAGATATAATATTGGTTTGTTTCTCGAGAATATTAAAGGCACAATACATTAGGCAATTACAATCAACAAGTAACATCAGTAATACATAGAGGAGGCAAGGCTCCACTCTGCCTTCCTCTGCGTATGCCCATTCCAGGAATTCATTATTGTTTTATTTTAAAATATTTTTTCTTTTAAATGAGAATTTCATCTGAAATAATTGCGAGAGCATTGTCAAAAGGGGGTATATTATTTTGAAATGGGGGGGGGAGAGCAATCAATTTGAAGATGGAGAAATTATTTTTTTTCTAATTATTTTATTTTAGAATGTTGAAACGACCTGTCACTGATGATAACATTTAATATGTTATTGTTTTTTTGCTACATTATTTTAATCTGGTATCTGAGTAAATAGTCGTATGTTCGGTTCCGTTACATATGACCTAATTTGTTTTTGATTTTTCAAGTATTTATTTGAGATTAGCCGTTGTCCAGAAACAATATGTTTAGACGGTTATTCAGCTATAGGAACAGAATTAATAAAAAAGTATTTACAAACAAATTACTATAATACTTTACTCAATGTACAAATTGGCATATTCGATTATAACATAAAAAAAAAACAACAACAAATGTTCCAACGCTTTTGATAAAGTAATTATGTTATATTAAGTTATATAATATATTATAATTATATTAAATATGTTTATGTGACATTATGACAAAGCAGGGAGTGGGATAGATCTGCAATGAAACAGAAAAGATGATCTTGGAATGGTGTTGCCGTTAGACCAAAAGCAGAACAGAATTTCTCTTTTCGCTTTGTTTCGCATAATTATTTAAAAAATTCTAGGGATTAAGTATCAAGACCATTATCAAGACTATTAGCAATTTTGCTTTTTACATATTTGAAACTATACAACTGAACCTATACGTCCAAGTTAGGAAAAGCTTTCTCGGCACTTTTCGCAAGTTATTTCCCCGTTTCGTTCTTCCTTGCCAAATATTCTTTTAATCGGCCACAAGTTTTACAGGTAACACGATCCGCCTGACATACTCCCATTTTATAAATATAAATTTTATAGAGGAAAGTTAGTCGACTGTTCTACATATCATGGGTGATAAATATTCAGGACGCAGTCTTTTTTTTTCTAATTTTTTATTTATGCCAACGTTTCAACCCGAATATGTGGGTCATTTTCAGGGCTGAAAATTTTTATAATACAATCAGAGATACAATACTATAGTAAGAGTAATTAGTAAGAGAAAATATTACAAATTTGTATAAATGGGTCATATACATAATTTTTTAATTTTTAGTTTGTGTAACTATTTACATATTTCATTTTTAATATGTGTATTGCAATATTAGTCAAGATTCATGTACCATCAATCCCTATAGTTTATTATTTACCTTTATCGGTGGTATAATATTATTTATTATATCTCTGATTCTATTTTTAAAACACTTCAGCCCTGAAGATGACCAACATCGTTGGCATAAATAAAAATTAATTTTTTTTTTATTTAAAATTACTGCATCCTGAATATTTATCACCCATAAATATTTGATTGAGTTATAAATATTTGAAAAAAAAAATACAAAAATTTTCTTCAGATGATCTTAACTTCTTTGCACGGGATGTCGAACTATTAGTATTTTGTGAAAACACTGAGGAGTGAGAAATTAACACTCCGCGTAATTTTAAAAGGTCGTATAGTTACAAATTACTACTCTTATTACTGATTACTCATTGAAACAAATGTTAACGAAATTTTAGAAATGATGCACATACAAATAATGATTTAGCTTACATGTTGATAATATAATCAAATATATACATTTATCATTTGTTCATACAGTACACTTTATCATTTACAATATTTAAATTTTATCTTATTTTTTAACAATATTTACAAAAATAGAGTTTAATTTTTATAAAATTCCTAGTAAATTTGTAATTATTATATATTGCTCTATGCGGTGATATTCATGAACCGAGCAAATCCTATGTATTATAGCACATATCTGCCTCAGAGCGCTGTGCTTGAAGTGGTGTGGGAGGGATATCATATACTCCTCGAAGACTGGGCCATAAGATTCCCCCAGGACGACAAGTTTTTTGTTTCTGATCGATTTAGGTGCCTAAGAAAAATAATTTAAAATGCCAATCAAAAACAATAAGGAATCTGTAATAATTTGTAAAATAAATAAATAAATTAATGCAAATATATTCATGAAAGTAGATTAAGAACTAAATTTAAAACAAGAAATATGGTGCGGTGCATATATCACACAACTTTCACTTAATAAACTACTTAGAGTAGCAATAGGCACTTTCACATACATGTTATCTCTTAAGTTTTGAAAAATATTTAAAGAGACGATATGACAAGTCGCGTCACTGGAATGGAGGCCATTATTCTAGTGGAATTGTTTCAAAAGTTTTGAAATGGGAGCTTTTAATTTACAATACTCATTCATCCGAAACGTTTTAAAATGATGTTCTGAAACCCTTAAAAAACAGTAGGTTCAATTTTTTTCCTATGCAAATAACAATATTGTCCACACACAAAAAATACATTGAGGATAAAATTTAGACTTACCTAATTCTTATACGATGGTTCTAAACTTATAATTTCACTGTTCAAATGATATATAATGATTGACTGCTATACGTATATATATATATATTCAGTATTTAAAAAAAAAAGACATTTAAAGTTGATTTGAGGGAGATTTAGCAACGCTAATATTGTTACTTTCAGTTGCCATTAGTGTTGCCCAAAATCGGTCTTGGCACTTTGCAAGACCAAGACCAAGGCCTCCTAACTGTTGCAAGACCAAGACCAAGGCCGCCTAACTGTTGCAAGACCAAGACCAGGACTGGTAAAAAAAATCGATTTTTTAAAATAAAAATTAAGACAAAATAGTTACTAATACTTGACAATTTTAGTTACTATATATAAATAATTGGTATAACCAATATACTTTTGCAATTTAACTCCTCTAATTTTTCCTTTAAGCTTAGTTAGGTTTCTTCTATCTAAAAAATCACCGTAATATATCTACAGTAATAACCTAATAACTGCAAGACTGTTGCGAGACTCATGCGCAAGACCAAGACCATGACCAAGACTGAGTTTGCAAGAGCAAGACTCGTCTCAGTCTCGTGTTGGGCAACACGGGCAACTAAAAATTGCTTCATAGTTTACTAGATACTTCAAAGCTTGGCTCCAGGAGGTCCCTTCGCTTCTTTTCAAGTCGCGTCACTGGAATGGAAGCCATTATTCTAGTTGAATTGTTTCAAAAGTTTTGAAATGGGAGCTTTTAATTTACAAAACTCATTCATCCGAAACGTTTTAAAATGATGTTCTGAGACCCTTAAAAAACAGTAGGTTCAATTTCTACCTATGCAAATAACAGTATTGTCCACATACAAAAAATACATTGAGGATAAAATTTAGACTTACCTAATTCTTATACCATGGTTCTAAACTTATATTTTCAGTTGTTCAAATGATATATAATGATTGACTGCTATACAGGGATCCCAACATTAAAAAAATAAGTATAAGTTATCAAGTTATCGGGCATTTTATAGCGAAATTAGCGTAGAATAAAAAAATAAAAACTTTTAAGAGGATCCCACTGTTAACTAAAAAAAAAAAAAAAAAAAAACCTTATGGAAACGTCGAATAAACAGTAGGAGCAATGGACATTTAGTTGTTTATTGAATAATTTTAAGCGACCTCATTCCCAATTAAATAATTATGTTTGTATATATATATATATATATATATATATATATATATATATATATATACACATACACACACAAAAATATTTGTATATATGGAGTAATATATATATATTACATATAGAGAGGTATACACACACACACACAAGAGGCCTATAAGATGTAGCGAACCGAACAGAAGCGTTGGCCAAGGTCCAGCATTGAGAGTATATTCATAGATTTTCTTTAAATGCAAATATATTCAGTATTTAAAAAAAAAAAACATTTAAAGGGGATTTGAGGGAGATTTAAAACGCTAATATCGTTACTTTCAGTTGCCATTAGTGTTGCCCAAAATCGGTCTTGGTCTTGCACTTTGACAAGACCAAGACCAAGGCCTCCTAACTGTTGCAAGACCAAGACCAGGACTGGTAAAAAAAATCGATTTTTTTGAATAAAAATTAAGGCAAAATAGTTACTAATACTTGACAATTTTAGTTACTATATATAAATAATTGGTATAACCAATATACTTTTGCAATTTAACTCCTCTAATTTTTCATTTAAGCTTAGTTAGGTTTCTCCTATCTAAAAAATCACCGTAATATGTCAACAGTAATAACCTAATAACTGCAAGACTGTTGCGAGACTCATGCGCAAGATCAAGACCATGACCAAGACTGAGTTTGCAAGACCAAGACTCGTCTCAGACTCGTGTTTGGGCAGCACTAGTTGTCATAAAGTCGTGGACTGTTTGAGATTTTTTTCATCACCCTCTCACGTAGACGACAGATACCTCACTTTTGTAAAAACTTTCATGTTTAATGAGTTTCAATTCGATAATATTTAAGTTGAGCTTCGTTACCAAGTAAGTAAAGGATTCACCCTGTGCCGGCCTTCCTGTGGGAGGGGGCGATGGACAATCTTCAGGGGCGCTTAATAATGATCAAGCTCTATTTTCGCAAACAAAAATATTTAATTATATATTCTGTCACACCAGAGTACATGTGTTTTCAGATAAAATAAGTATAATAAATTATTAAAAAGCTTCAAATACTTGTGACCTTGGACGTATGATATTAAATTAATTAATAAAATACACTTTTTATTAATTAAAAAATATCTAAAAAAATATTTGTTAAGAATTTTATCATCTAAAATGGCAATGGACTAGTGTTTTTACATATCTGATCTATGGGAAATCATTCTTATGGTACTAAGCGACCTACTGAAGGTCCCTAATGCTAGTAATTACGTTTTTATGAATACAAGTCTAGCAATTGGTAGGTTTTATTTTATTTTTTTTAAGCGAAAACTTCTTTTGGCGCGTTTTCCACATTTTTGGGGAGAGTAGATTAGATTGAGCCGTCAGATTTCACTCGATATTACCGGCTGGAGTCCACTTATTAAAGTGTTTTTTCTTATGGTTAAAATATCTCAAAAACTAAAAATTCTGACCTGCATATTGTTAGTAAAGAAATTGTTCAACATTTCATCCTCTCAGTAATAGGCTATAATTCAAAATTGTATCTTAACACGGCGAACTGTAACTGTCACGGAGGCGACAAGGAAAAAATCTAAACCAAATGATAACGAAACATACGGTTAGTAGATACTTATAGTTGAACATACGGATTAAAATATTTCAGATACTAAAAGTCGGGACTGTATACAGTAAGCGAGGGAAATGTTAAGCAGCATTTCTTCTTTTTAATGAGCTGTTATTCAAAATTGTCTCTTGAACCAACACCTTGTTAGAGAGAAGGAGAGGGAAAAATATAGTGTCCAAAACCAAATGATAACGAGTTCATGCTAATATATAGTGCAAATGCTAATATTATTACAATATTGAAATTTTATTTTGGCAACATTATTAGTAGTATATAAAAAATAACAAGAGAAATAATATTAATGATAATAATACCCGAAATTCTTAGACATAATGGAAAATAAATTTGACATAAATTGAACATAAATTCAAATAAAAACTATTTGAATTAAGAAAAAAAATTTGGTGTGTTCATTAACACAACTTTCCTACCTATTTCAAAAAAGTTTTTATATCTTTACATATGTTCATGAAGTAAACAAAAAAGAATTGAACTAAATTTATTTTCTTGAAAATTGATCAAACAAAAGATTTCAGTACGATTTATTTGATAAACTAAAGCAATAATTTGATAAACTTCAGGTAGATCAGTGTAAAAATTTCAATACTTCCTAATATTGCTGATCAAAACATTTTGCCATAGCTTAGAATTGTCAAACAATAATTTATGTTAAAAGTATAGGAAATAGTGAAGAGCTTGTATAATGCTGACAACAGATTTTCTTACTTTCACTTAGTCATCTTTATTTTCTCATTCAACCCTTTCTGACACCAGGATACGAAACCGTAGTCTTACGTTGGATTTTGAATAGCTGGAACTTCGTTAATAAGTGTTCAAAACGAACGATTTCTATATGATTTTTTAGGTAATTTAATTACTTTTCAAAAGTTTTATTATAAATTTTACCGTATAATATATACTTAGGGAGTTAGACCCCATAACGTTTTTCTTTTCTTTATAACTTTTTTTCCCGATTTTTTTCGGGAATTTAGTCTATATACGAATATTGAAAGGACAATGATTAGAACATCATAGAAAAGTTTCATCAAAATCGTTAGAACCGTTTTCGAGCTACAGTCTATAGAAAACATGTTTTTCATTTATTGCGCGCAAGCTATTACGCATGGAACAACGAATTTCTGTCACAGGCATCAGTAGTCAAGACCCTACAAAATAAAAAAAGAAGCAACAAAATCGGTTCAGTTGTTCCTGAGAAAATCTTGGCACAGACAGAAAGACAGACCAATGGCTAAAAATGTGTTTTTCGGACTCATGGGGCTGTGAAACGTATAGATTCGCCGAAAACTGCATGTCAGAAATTTGACCCGATTGCAATACTTTCCTTATCTAGTATAGGTTGGAAAGTAAAATTCTAAAGAGATTGGGAAATTCTATTCTCTCTAAGAGAATGTACTTCCATATCTGTACTCACTACCAAGATGTATATAAACATCTTGGTAAATTGATAGGGAAATTTTTTGTGGAGTGTTATTTAGTAAGTCGAGTAAAGTCGGCTGGAGTGGACTAATTGAAGCGTTTTTACATATGAATTAAAATATTTCAGAAACTTAAATTCGGACCTGCATATTGTAAGTGAGGAAATCGTTCAGCATTTAATCCTCTTTATAACAGACTTGAAAATTGTATCTTAACGCGACACCATGTTAGAGAGGCGAAAAGGAAAAAAAAAAATGTATCGAATTTTATGGGAGATATGGATTAAAATATCTCAGAAACTGCATACTGTAAGTAAGGAAAATTTTCAGCATTTCGTCCTCTTTGTAATGAGCTATTATTTATAATTTATATTTTATACTCTTAATCTCGCCTTTTTGATGTTTCCACTTCTATCGTGTAGTCTAAAGCATACACCTTGATTTTTTTAAATATTATTTTATTTTTTTTTTAGAAATCGTAATTTGCATTAGTAACTATTGCCATCAATTAGAATTGATATCTGGTTGGTAATGGAAGCTGCAATATCAATGCATTTGGAAATTCCAGAAAAGATATTTTCGGAATTCCAAACAGGAACTGTCAGTTTCAGTCTGGAATTCCGAAAGATAGACCTGAGGAAAATATCTTGACTGAAATTCTTAACAATGTGCTTTTTTCCGTGTTAATATAAAACTATTTAATTAAAAAAAAATCTATGATAATTTCAATGCCTGATTTTTAACATACGAACTGCTGGGAACTTTGTTTTCCTTTAATGGAACAAAGGGAGTATTCTTCAAATCCAAACCTAATGCATTAGGCAGATATTAATACAAAACATTAGTGATCCCCATTACCTTTAATGTTAACACTAAACATTCCTTGTAAACAAGACATAAATCAGTCTATAACTACAATTAGGATTTAAAATATAACGTCGTTACAGAACAAAACATCACGTTGTTGTTGCTATTTATATTTTAACATTTCTTGCATTAATCATTTATTTATTCTACTATTTATTTATTTATTATACTATTGTATACATGAAAAAAAAACTAAATATATTTACTAAAAAATTAACCTTTTGATAGCGCTCCATTTTTATCAGCATTTTGGTAAGATCCGCAGGACCATAATAACTGGGAAAGTGATCTTCAACTGCTCTGATATCATTGATCGCGCTCAAGCGTACCTCAAGAGTTTGGTCTCCAAGAACTAACCCGACAAGATGCGCAGCAGTGATAAGATAGTCAGGTTCCATGGTTTTTGCTTTTGTGAAAAAAAAATGTATTATCTGGAAAAGTAAAAATATTTATTATTAGGCATTGCTGTAAAACATAAATCCAAATATTGAACTTTCAAACCAAATGATCTTCTTGAATAAGCCCTTACCTCAGAAAAAAAACACAAAATATTATGTAAAAAAGAAAACTTTATTCGCACATAACTCAAACAGTATACAATTAATAGTTGATACATCATACTTATGGCAATTTGATTAAGTTATTAAGTTTTCTAAATTCACTACCATAAGAAAAAAATCATTGAAATCAGACATTAATTTTACCATTGATAGCAAAGATGGAACGTATTTGAATGTTTGTACATATTTTGGTATTCTATTTATAACACTGAACCACTGAGAAAAAAAAATTCTCTCTCTCCCACTTATAACTTATTGTATAATATTTAATCAAATATTGTTTTTATTTATTCACATATTGTATTAATATTTGTTCATATATAAAAAATAGTGTGTGATTTTAGGAAGCACATTCTTACCTCGTGGTGTCCTTTGAACTGATCAGTGTGTTCCTACAATTAACATGTCCGATACTTGTAGGTGGAGGGGGATGGTACAACAAGGTTTCATCGACGGATAAGATCACGTTTGAAAATTAAGATCTTCATAGATCGTTCAATTAAATTAGGAAATCTTAAAAAGCAAATTAATTTTAATCACAATGCCAATATTGTTCTCATTAACTATTTAAGTCTCAATATTTCTGATTAAATGGAATTTCTTAAGTATTATTTTTTTTGTTTAGGTAGTTGAAATCTACAATAGGAGGCCGTTTCATTCTATTTGTAGAGCAAATATTGATAAATAAATAAATACCTATTTAAGACGTTTATATTTTATTAAATGTTTTTTGAAAGTTCACTGTGCATTTTACTTTCATGTATAATATATTATATTATATATATAATATATAGTAAGGTTAAGTATTGCGATTGTGAAAATTTTTGAATTTTTATTTTTCAACGGAAATACACGTTTTCTGGTACTCTGAGTCCAAATAACCAAGTCCTGAAAAATTGTCAGTGTGTTTCTGTGTGTCCGTGCGTGCTTGTGTGTGTGTGTGTGTGTGTGTGTGTGTCAGTCTAGCTCAAAAACGAAACTGATATTACTTATTTAAGATAGATGTATATGTATATGTATCAACTTTTTCTTTAAAATCGGCTAATCGGAAGTGTCACTTTATATCAACGCTGAAACACGTTTTTACAATTTTCTTAATAAGGGCTCTAACGATTTTGACTAAACTCGGTCTACCGTTTTATAATTAAATGGTCTTTAATATCATTAAGGTTTTATCCCCGTTGATGTCACTTTGCAGTGCTGAAATGTCCAATGTTCAGATGCGCCTTCCTCTATAGTACCTTTAATATAATTTCGTTTAAATAATTAACTATCTCTCAAGTGTTACAAAAAAATGCTAAATATAACTTTGGAATAATTGATAATTGAATAAAGGGGAAAAATAAAAAAACGCTTATCTAGGTCGAAAATGAACCTACGGAAATACTAGTCAGAATGTATACATATAATATATCGTTGGAAAGCGGAGAAATTTATTAAAAACAATATTTAATATTGAAAGTTGTTTAAAGTAACTGAGAGTGGCAACACAAATATAAATAATAATTTTTGATAACTAATAATATTTAACGTAAATCACATGTTTTCAAGAAAATTAAATGAAATTTGCTAACTAAATGTAAACTTTAAAGATAATTTTAAGGTTAAAAAAAGTATTTAATATCCACCTAATCAACACGATGACATTGTTTAAAAAACTATTTTATTGTACTTTTGTGAAAGAAAAAGTAAAATATAAAATCATTTCATGGATGTATAAATCATATGTTTATAAATTCTTGAAGGAAGTTAGTCGACTGTTCTACATATCATGGGTGATAAATATTCAGGACGCAGTCTTTTTTAAAATAATATATATATAAATAAATAAAAAATTATAATAAAATAATAAATTTCTTTTTAAAAAAGACTGCGTCCTGAATATTTATCACCCATCATATGTTTATAACCTTAAATACATTTAGTGTAGTTTAATAATTCTAGATCTGATATTATACTTAAATAATTAGGTATCAACGTTCTAGAAAACCTTATAGAAAATTAAATTAGTGAATAGTTTGATGAAATTTGCTTTTGTGATATTCCAACAGTATCCACTTATAATTAGTGTGACGAACTTTTAACCTGACTATGACAGACAATGCAAATCTCTTAATTTCGTTTTAGTAAACTTTTCAATGGAAAATAACAGTGTAATAACTTATATTCGTACAATCCATAATCAATGGATCTTGCAATCCATAATCAACGGATCGTACAATCCATAATCAATCGGTGATATAATAAATAGGGCTTTTGTTATTTTAATGGTATTTATGATTTGTTAGGTGTAATTCTTTAGCTTTAGCTCGGTGAAAATGCAATTCAAAAGTTTTTTATTCATGAGCGATAAGTGAATGTTGTGTGTTGTGCGCACCAGATTTTTTATTTTCTTATGAATTTTTGTAGATATGAAGGGGCAATATTTAAGAAGAATAAATTGGAATTGGTTAATGATTTCAACCAAACTTTTTTTTAGGTGATACCACATCGAAAAATATTGGTCACATATATTGGCGTTCGTTCCCATGTTCTCCAGAAATTGAGAACAAAAAATTATATAAATAGTTGATAAATAATCTACACGAGTGGCCAGACCCCCCTACCGTGCTTCCTCCCCCTCCACATCCCTATAAATTGCATATCGTTGTGACCCTTGTAACAATTTATTCAAAAAAAGCCAATGTTCCGACAAAAAAAGTGAACGCACAGCCCCAACATGGCGTCCAATCATTGCGGATTGACGACTTTGACTTTAGTTACTTTGTTGGTCACTCAGATTCATTATTTGGATAATTATCCTCATAGTTCTTCTTTTATTAAAGCTGAATAGTCAGAAAATAATAAAACATGAACAAATATTATAAAATAAGTGGCTTAGGCAATAAAAAACGACAGTAAAAACAATTTTGTTAACAAATCAATTTTCAAGTCGAAAATATATTTCTTTTTCTTTATTATTGAAATCTTAGTTATTATTTGTATGTGCATATTGTGTGAAAGATTCATGTAGCCTTAATATTAATGCCTTTTAATATGGCAGAATGTATTAATATTCAATAAAAAAAAAATATGTATTATAATTGACATATATATAATCATTATTCATCGGCTGACATTTAGTTACCATGTTTGTATAGAGTTTCTTGAACGTATACGAAAACATACCTCCTGGGGTAAATTCTTTTATTACTCATGTTTTCTTAAGCTATTATGGTTGTTTTGTTTTTTACAGTATTTAATACATATTATATTAAATTACCATTATGTTATAATTTATTATATCATTAAACTATATTGTATCATTATACTATGTTAGAATTTTATAATATTGAGATTGTTAGAAAAAAAATTTACCCATGTAAATATTACGTACTTCTTATTAATGACACCGACTGATAGATGTTGCCATGTGGTCGGACCAAATCGAATTATCGATCAATAAACTCTAAAACGCTAAAAAAACAAAAACAAATTTTTCTTTTAGCATTTTACTTGTGTTGTATTTAGGTACATTCTAATCTCGTAATGTTACCCTGACTGTATTAAGGGTTGATCTTAATCCCTACAGTTTAAGACAACAAGGAAGTTTCTAAACATATGGTGTATTTGTAGCGACCACCTTAAGAAAATACGAAATTGGATAAAAATTTTTTCCGTTCGAAATCAATGTTCGAATCGGCCCATACATCGAAAGAAATTATTGTGTGGGAAAATTTGTCTAGAATCAAATTTGTCTAAAAGGTTGCTTTTATTGGTTATATAAATTCTCTAAATTCTGCATCTCCTAAAAATTAAATCAATACTTTATGGAACTAACAAAACAGTTAGTATTGTGTAATGGAAATAAATATTCATTAATATAAAAAAAATCTTACCACCCCACTTTGGGTAAAAATAGGTCTTTTCATCATCTGATGTTTTAGGCTCAAAAGATCTGATCCTACATATTAATAAAGTAAAATTACTATTAAAATATTTAGCTTTTAGGAACTGAAAGTAAAAACCATAGATGGTGTAATATATTATTTAAAAAAAATTACTTACTGTAACTTTTTTTCTTCTAATCTATTCGATTTATGCGTTTTCCGTTACTAATCATTTTATTTTAACAACATTGTAAATTTTAATTATTTATTTTACTATAATAATTAATTAAGTACCACATTTTTTTTTAACCCTACAAGACAGTGAGGAGATCCTACCGATATTAATTTAGTTTCATTGTGGGTATTTTTTTTTTTTTTTGTTTGAATACTGTTAAACTGACTTATAAAGATTGGTAAACAAATATTTATCTTTATTTTTTTCCGTGACCTATAGAGTTAAATAATACCAGCACTAGCACTTATGAAAACCGTACATGTATTAATAAATAATATAATATAACAGGAACCCCCACTTTTAAAAAGTTTGAGGGCGCGCTCGGGTATCTTCGTCAGTTTTCGGCTCCACATTACCGAGTGCGCACGAGTCCCTTTCAATTTTCGCTCTCTCGATGCCATCCCTTATTTGTTCTTAAGTTCATGATAAATTTTTCAAGTGTGAAATAGTTAATTTTTTAAAACAAATAGAACGTAAGGTACTTTTGAGGAAGACATTTTGAAAAATCGGTATTTTTTTCTAAAGATAATGGGCCAATTTTCAGCAGAAACGTAAGGAGTTTATGTTTTCTGTACTTTTACGTAAGGTTTTTTTTTTTTTGTTGGATAGGAAGCGAAAACTAAAGAAACATTTAATTTAACTAATTAACAAATGCTTCTTTGCAAACAACATAAAATTTACTTAACCACTTTACCTGTAAAACATGATTGTTCTAAACAAAAAAAAAAAAAAATGTTTATATAAAAATTGTATTTTGGCAATTATGTTTAT